GGTTTCAAAGCCAACTCAAGTGTGTCAAGTGGGTCGTTGTGTGTAAGTAATGTGTGTGGTGTGTTTGAGTAATGTGATCAGTCTTGACCCACTGGACGTGATACGGTGAGAGACTGTGTGACTGCGTTTCGTCACGTCTGACGGACCCACCGGCCGCTCCACCTGTCCACTGCAGCGGTGGCATTTAGACGACATTAATCACAACGATAAGAAGCTGGAACTTACAGACCACTTGGTTTGAGTATGAGACCACAGAGTCAGCAGTTACAGTGAGAGCAGAATGAGCAAATGGGTGTTCCTCTATTTTGTCGTTACAGTTATCAGGTGTTATCAAAACGGCTCCTCTGGCCATATACAGTGATGTTTTTACGTTTGCATGCACAGTCCAAGATACAGTAATAGATTTGAATAGTGAAGTGAAATAAATACATTTTACATAAAGGGCTAAGACACAAAACAAATTACAACTTTTTGGTGGGATGCCCCTTATAAAGGCCTCATAACTGAAGCACGGGTGTTTCAACCCGACACCTCTGCAAACTCTGCAATTACAGTGTGTGACTGTGCAGAGCAGAGACGGACATGCTGTCTCCACATGGTTGGGATTTTCCAGAGGATCTGTCAACAAAGCGAGAGGGAACTCCTCAAAAAATATTCTTATGTGACTTTCGGGTTGATGAAGAGGAGTTGTTTAACCTTTATTGTTAAGACTGCGTTTATGTTTTCTGATATGAAAATGTTAATTTTAGAGAATCAACAAAGAGAAGAGAAGATGCAGTTATACATTTATACAGTTTTATATCTATGTTATACTTTAATGGCTGTTTGTTTATTTATTTGTCAGCAGGATTACACATGAACTACTGAACCGATTTCCATGAAATTTGGGGAAGGGGTTTTTCAATTTTCTTTGATTCCTCAGAGAATAATTCATGGATCCTCATGAAAAATACTGACATACTTAGGTGTGTAAGTCTGTGCAAGTAGGTGAAGATCCAAATCAAATCCGAATCTAGTGGATTAAAGTGTGGTTCACAAGAGGACTGTTGCAGAGGTTTGCATTCTACTGAGCGCCATTCTAGTTATCAGTGCCTTCTCTTGTGGATAAGAACTATGTTAAATGTGGAAAAGTCTAACCCACTTTAGTTAATGATTTAAATGATCTTCAACAATTACAACAAAAGCCAAAAAGCAACCGGAGGTCAGTCAGACTGCACAAACCAAAAACTGTTATGAAAGAAATTCTGGAAAAGGGAACGTTGATCAATAAGCAACAAATATTTCTTGTAGCCATAAAGAGACAAAAGGTCATTTCGATCATTCACTGTTATTTGTCCATAGTTTGCTTTTTACTCAGGAGACCAATGAACAAAGGCAGTCAGCTAATGACTCCATTCAAAAAGTGGGTTAGATTTGTGCCTATGAGAATAGATTCATGGCTTGTCAGATGACTTAATGCAGCAATTACAATTATCTCTCTCCAGTCTGATTGTCTGAACCCTGAGACTGAGAGCATAAACACAAAACTCTCTTGTCTACACATGGATGTCTGTGCAGAGCTGAGCGGTGCTGGCTGCCAACGCATGCCACAGCCATGACTGTAGAGGGTCTGATCTTTGAATCACGTCCAAAATGCAACAGGAGAATTTAATCACCTTGCAGAGAGAGAGAGAGAGAGAGAGAGAGGGAGAGAGAGAGTGAAAACGAGACAGATTGAAAGAGAACAGCAGGGAGGGGAGAGAAAGACATGAGACGTTTGGAGCGAGCTGCCACTCAAAGCTTTGGCAGGATTTATGAGCTCTGCTTGTGGCGCATACCTGCGATATGTCCTCTCCTCCTGACCATACATAGAATCAGGCACAATCGGACAGCCGCGATATAAATATTGAGTTGAGACAGTTTGGCAGCTGTAGCTGTGACCTAAATGCTGAAACTATGAGCAGTGCTGACGGCTGTTAGAAGCAAGAGAGAAAATAAAACTAATGAAGTTACTGTAATCTTTTTATATCTGAGCTCTCTGGTTGGCTGAGCCATTAATCATACATGGTGACAGAATGCCCCTCGTTGGTTGGAAACTGGTTTGACTCACAGAGTTGCATGTAAACTCGGGGGAGACTTGTTTTGGGGAGATTCTGGTGGTCGACAGTGGCCATGGAGACGATTTGCTATTATTGTTTTTATCGTTTACACACAGAAACCATCACAACATACTGAACTGAAGCTGAGTCCCAGATACATCAACTATTACTCGTTCCTTTCTAACAGATACGTTTCCTTGAACGTTTTTACCTCCGCCAAGAAGGTTATGTATTCTTTTGTTGTTGGTTTATTTGTTTGTAAGTTTGTGCAAAACCGATCATACTGATTTCCTCCAAACTTGGTGGGTCAGTGCGGCCTGATCCTGGAAGAGCATAATACATTTTGGTTCAGATGCGGATAAAGGCGTGGATCCTGGATTTCAGCCTTGGTGGAGGTGTGTGCTCTGAGTGCCAATCCAGTTCAATCTGTTTGAGAGGCGTTCATTCAAATGTGTTTTTACTGCTGAGATTGTTGTGTTATTTCATTACACAGACAAAACCAATAATCTTCTTCACAATCTGACAAACTCGTGTTTGTTCTTAACTTGTAAATTTAAATCAACTTCCTGACAACACATCATCAGAGCTGCTTTAATCATTTAATAATTTAAACTTGAATAATGTCTGTCACTAATAGAAAAGCAGACAAGACCTGGGAATGGAATGGAAGTATCTGAACAGCTCGATACAGCTGTTGCAACTTGATAAAAAAAATAAAACTGCTCTTATGCAGTAATTGCTAATCTGGGTCCAACATGCTGGCTCTGTAAATCTGCTCCAGAGCAGAATAATTTGACTGGTAACAAAGTCAGTGGAGACTGGAAGTTGTCTTTTCATGGTGATCAGAGATACAGCTCTATTATCTGTGGAGGTCCCTGCAGACCTCCAGCCAAAACCATGACCTCATTGCACTGTGGGAAATGTCGGCGGTATTCTGCCTCCCTCGCTGCTTAATTCAATCATGTTTTTCTCTGCTGGTTTAATAATAGGGATTCTCAGGGATTCCTAGTGACTCTTAAAGGACATCTAGTCTGTAAGTATCAGACCCTTAACCCATGTAAACTTAGAATCTGTCTCTGAAGTGTTTGAACGTTGCTCTTTCACACAGGATGAAGCTGCGGTCCGTTCGGGGTTTTGTTTCCACAGAATCCAATGGCGAGCCGAATTCATGACAAATTAATATACCATCCATCATTTTTACAACATAATCACAACTTTCCAATTTCAATTCACACAAACAAAAGACATTGTGACGGCCTCAGTTTTCCTAGTTGACTCGTTGATAAAGATCAGTCTGGTGAATTCAAACCTTCCAGTTCATCACACAGCCTATTTATTTTTAATTAACTCAAAAAACTCAAACATGTTTCCAATCAGTAACAAACAATTTACTTTCAGGAACACAGGCAACAAACTGCAGCCACACGCTACTTCAGTGGTTAAAACACGGGACCAGACAAAGATTAGTTTCTGTTTATAGAACTGAACATCGATTGGCTTTTACAATCCATATTCTTCTATAATAATAAATGTAGTGTGAAAACAGTGAGACAATGAAAGTATTTTCATTCACTCTCACTAGTGTTGTGTTCAGCTGCAGCTGTTCTCACTATGCACGCTGCCAAACAGCAGACTGACAATGTTGGCTGTTACCTGGTGAACAAGGTGAAACAGTTGGCAGCCGAAGAATCGGGTGTTTCCCTCAGGAGTCCGTGGAAACAAAACAACAAAGTGAACATTTGACGTGAATTAGATTCATCTGAGAGACAGAAACTTTAAATCAATGATTGATCAATGATTGCTCTCATCCTGCTGAATGAGCAACTGGGGAAGAGTGCGATGAAACATGTTTTAAAAAGTCCCAAATTAAAAAGAAAGCTGCAGTCTGACCTGTTTTGGAACCTATTCTGGGAATCCTTGTTTTAAAAGCCAGGTTGAATTTTTCTGGAGTTCCCAGGTCTCAAGTACAGACAAACACAATGTGCTCATGTTAATAATACTCAATTACAAATCATTTGTGATTGGATTGAACACACATACTCATCATTCATGGTGGAAAAAGAAATTGAATCTTGAAATTTAAATCCTCCCTTGACCTCAAACAAACCTTCTTGTGCTCAGTGATGGGGGTTTTGGGTGGTGCAGAGCAGCGTGTGGCTTTGTGGAGCCATGCTCCTTGCAACCATGCACCTTGGTTTGTGTAGACTCAAACATTTTAAGCAGCTCCATATTTAATTCAGACTTTACCTGTGACTCTGTTTTCTGAATTGTCTCTTTTTCTACAAAGTTTGTGTGACCGTGGATTAATGACAGTCTCAACTCTTTGATAGATTTGTAACCTTTATACACAAACCAACAATTCTTGATTCTAATTTTCCTGAGATCTCACATTCAACAGATGCTCAGCAGACACTCATATTCTGGGAGTGTGGGAGGCTTGAATCCTGCAGAGGCCGCAGGTCCAACCAGTCAACAAGGGCGAAATGTTTGAAACATATCTTTTTAAAAATATGTGAGTATTGTTTTTTAAATCAGTCTCACACCTCCGATCGTGTTCTGTTCACTGCTCTCCACGTTTGTTAACTCCTGACTCCAGTTAGCTTTTGTTGATGTCATTAGCCTCGGGGTTCAAATTCATTTTTTCAAACTCTCCACTGTGAAAGTTTCAATAATGTATTCAATATGGACGAGAACAATTCAAGGATCTTTGTGCTGTTAGATTTAGATGAAGAACTAATCAAATCCAAGACAAATGTATTGTATGGTTCCACATATGAGATTTCACTGTTGTAGAAAGACAGTCTTCATAAACCCAATCAAAGTGTTTGACCATGAGTTTCAAACCGTAGCCATGTTGCTCTCCACGGGGGTATGACACACAGCTCCAATGGGAATACTGTATCTCTTGTGTTTCTACCACAGGTAACAACAAGGATATCAACGTACGCCCCATCGTGCGGAGAGGGCCGACCATTCGATGCCGGAGTATTCACTTACCACAGGCACTGCACAAGGTCAGGGGGCTGGCAGCGGAGACAGGAAGAGATGATGTCATCACCCGGGGAATATCTCTGAATCCCTCCCCACTTGGATGTTTAATTTACAGCACATTAGCCAAAGTGATTCCACATTGTTACATGTGACCTACTTTAATGTGTAATGTGCATTTGCTATTGGACATATGGCACCGAACATGACTCTGGTGCCGCTACATCCAGGGTGACATAACCTCGCCTTCCACTCAGCCATGACTTGTTAGTTTTAGCTTGTTTAATATTTATAATACACACTACAGTGTGTACATGTTTCTCTCTTTTCATAGTGTTCGCTAAATACATACTTTACACTGCAGGTGAGTTTAACTTGGTTGTGTCAGACCATACAGAGACAGTTTAATGAAGAGCGGTAAACATAAGGCCTGAGACAACAGAAATGTCTAAACTTAAGTCGTCATTTGTTTTTTAACACCACTGAAAGAGCTAGAATAGAAGTCAGTAGATAACAAACCTCTGCCAACAGTCCCTTACATTCAATCAAGCTGCACCACACACTCATAGATATCAGTCTCCTGAATGAGTCAGATTTTTCATCAAGATCCATGAAATATTATCTGGGAAATCAATGGAAATGTTGAAAAACGACAGATCTCACGATAAAGAAAGAGAAAAAAGTTCCTGGATCTGTTCCCTGATTCGGATTTACATCAAAATTGAATTGGTTCGTCCTTGGGTCGTGCCCCAGCCTCCACAAAACTTCATCGAAATGTATTTTTATGTAATCCTGCTAACGGACAAACAAATTAGCAAACGCAGATGAAAACAACCTCCTTGGTAAATACATTTGTATGGACGGAGCAGACACCAACACAGTGTAGTAACTTTTATGCTTCCTCCACTGACTACTGAAAGTAGTTCCCATTTTACACAAATGTAGAATTTGAGATAATATAACTGAGCACATAAAGTTGTAAGTCCAGATACATTAAATTAAATCAAATTAATTAAACTGCACGTCCACTCTGAGAGATAGTCAGAGAATTGCTTCTGAAAAGTAAATACACACACATGGCTCATTTCTCAGCATTTGATCCAAAAGAGCTCGACATTATTTTTGCTAATACTCGATGATTTATGCTCCAGAGGACCCAGCGTTGGGTGTTGATGTAATAGCTCCATGTCTGTCAGGACGCAGACGGCCGGCCTCATGTGCACACCAGAGTAAACAGAGCACACTAACACATTCCCCTCACAGTCACTCACTGCATGCAAAATATGGAATTAACGGTCACTTTTAATTATTGTTATTAGCTGTGACAGGAGGAGGGTGAGAACACACGACAGCTGCACTTTGTAATGCTCCGTGTGATGGAAGTGGAGCAGACAGGGTCTCATGTGTTGTGACAATGTCGCACTGTCGAGGAGTGGAGCTCTCAGGCTTTTTAAATCCTCACCTCTGTCTCAAACAAACTCACCTATGTTCAGGATTCTTAGATACGAGTGTTTTACAGAACAGGAACGACTTTGATGATATTAACTGTCTGTGCTGGATGTAGGGAGGTAACAGTGTCTCCTGATGGAAGATTAGTCCTTTACCCAAACAGTAAAAGAATACACAGATTTAGCAGTGGACATTTTAAAGGATTAAAGTAATTCAGAGATTAAATCATTTTTCATAACTTCTGATAGCTATATTACCCACAATACAACTCAAACGATTACAGTCGGACGCACAAGTTTATTATGTGACTGAGCTACTAGACTCAAGGGGAAATGAGTGAAGTGATCTACAGAGGTCTGATGAACTCACTAACCTCTTGTGTTAAAGGTTCATCACATCTATTTAACACTTAGATACTTGTGGGATTTACATGGAGTCAAGTGTTAGTATTCGTGCTACGTGTTAGTGTAAACTGTCAGCAGTGGCCAAGTGTTTATGTTTATCTGAGCTCACTGTCACACGCTTATAATAATGATCCTGTTTGGCTTGTGCAGATACTTGACTCCAAATCTGTAAGACAATAATGTGAAATATCAAACTTCTTCATATCTGTTGATGATTGTCAAACCTAAACCAAGTGTATGGGTTTATTACCACTAACAACGTGACATGACTGATGTGGTGCAGCAGTTAAGCATTTACAGTAATTTTATGGCCGGATTTAAAGAATCGTGCATCGAGTTAAATGCACGTTGGAGTTTTTCATTCTGATGGCGGTGAAATGAAAGCGCACTTCATTCGAGAGGAATAACTCAGCCACATAACTGAAAACAGGCAACATACTGTAAAGGAACCGAACAATGGAATCAAACCATGAGCACAAAACAATTATTCATGCAGGGCCAACGTGTTGCTTTAGCCGCGTGGCTTTGTGAACCCTCTGCTCTGAAAACATGACTAATGCGCTAATCTCAAAGTCAAATGTTCGGTAAGTGACATTAAAGCAACACTTACACTGTATCTGTGCTAAAGAGAACAAAAGAGGAGAGGACGTGCACAGATAGTCAGAGACGGACAGGATAACCATCTCTGTCTAATCATCACCAGCTCTGTTTAAACTTTGGCTGCAGCCCAAGAGGGGGAACACTTTCATTGACCCCCACGGTCAATCCACTGTGAAAACAAACACATCAGCCTGGCAGACTATATGAGTCACTGCCCTCTCACGTCGACCACAAACGCTCGCGCTGCCAAGCTTTTTCCTGTCCGCCATGCCTCGCCCTTCCTCGCCTCTCGCTGCCATCGCTCTGCTATCTCGCTCTCAACCTTTAACCCACATGTTTATTGGCCAAATAAAAGAGAGAAAGAGAATAGATAGAAAAGAAGTTGACTTCTTTTCTATCTATTCTCTCTGTGTGGGACAGTTGAACAGATATTAGCAGGTGTGTGATGTGGTCGTGCCTCCAACTTCTCTCCCGCATGCAACACTGTTGATGCCTTTGAGGATAGAAAGTCAGCAGCTTTATCTTCGGCTGTACGATTCATGTGTTGAGACTATAACTGCACTCGTATATGTACCAAGATTAGCTGTACAGAATATTGCTGCTGCAGAAATGGTTTATTTTATTAGACACTTTTTCCATAACTGTCTTACTCAAATGCGCCCCTCTGTTTTTTAAATTGCAGTTGCTGATTATTTTTGACATTAAGGAGACAGTCTGTGAATCTACATTCATCTACAAACATACATTTATTTATTTTTATACTATTATATGTAACCTGTATTGCAGATTCTGAATATTCAGTATTTTCTGCCTGGAAAGAAATTCTGTTTTGGAGACGTGCCACCATCAGTGTGTGGAATCTTGTGGCCTTTTTTTTTTTTTTACCTCGAAAACAACAACACATTCTCTCAGAACCAACCCCCGTCAGTATTTCCACAAAACAAGTCACTTAACTTTTTCCAGCTTGAAAACGACCCCATGCACGGGTCCTCCAGGCTGATTTTAATTCGGTTATAGTCCAAGTCGTACACAAACACTCGAGCTAAATCGTCTAATCTTTTTGAAAAATGTCCTATCTGGGGACCAATAACTTAGAAGATGTAAACCAACGTCGGCTGTGGTTAATCTGAAAATATAGAAGTTGCTGATTAAGGGGTCAGTGTGTTATCATAGAAAACATACATGTGTAATCGCAGCGTCTATGTGCTATCGGGCCTCTGTCTTATGTCACGGCCGCCGCGGGTTTCACATGATTCAGAGCTGATAACTGAGCGTGTCAACTTTCTAATAAAAGAAAACACTGGCTGCGTTTGCAATTAGGTATGAATGTGATTATCTGTGGATAAATATTTTAATGTGGCCACTGATACCATGTGATGTGCTCTCGTAGGCGTAACCACAGATTTGATAAGACGCTATGGTGGGACTGTGCTTTTTTAAACAATAAGAGCCTATACTCCCATGACTGTCAGTTACATGATGTGAGGCAGCCAGTGTTTGCATCATCATATGTATGTAGAGAGAGAACACGTATGAGAACAGTTGCTGCCACTATGTGAGTTTTCTCTGTGTTCTCGTACGAAGGAAACTAAAGTAGTCGAATGCTGTAATTCTGGCAGAGGTGTACCAACGCTGCACTGCCTTAAATGGGAAACAGAGACCCAGACCTGTGCTTTACTACAACGTGGCTCTGATTAAGACCAGATCGGTCTGCATGTGGTCGGTTCTGAGTCACAGCCAATTCATACTCAGGGACAGGACTGCTAATGTGGTGCTGTATGAATTCACATCTTCTACATACTGTATATCTGCCGTGGAGGAGATCAGCAGTTATTATCGTCACCAAATGACTTGACAAGCTTTTAAGTGGGGCATAAAAAAAATCAATATGAAAGAAGAGGCAATAATTTCTACCATATGGATGTCAAAGGATGTCATTTTTTATTCTGTTATCCCAACATCATGATTTGTTTTCTTATAATTGTCGGTTAAGAAAACAAAAGACCTTTTCCTCAAGAGAGCAGGATAATTATCTCTCAGCACAACTTTTGTTTTCTTAAGATAACAAGATTATTTTATCACTTGATTCAAGTCAGTTTTACTCATTCAAGGAAGAGGCTCTCACAGGGAGACGTATCTCGCTGATACTCGTGGCTCCAGGGACGTCACGTTCATGATTCCAGTTCGTTCATGACATGTTGGAACCCCAGATTCTTTTCTTCAAAATGTGAGTTTCTAATCTGATGAGAATCCTGCCTCACCTGTACTTTGTGTTTACAAGTCAACATCTTAAACTTAACTGCTTTGGACTGTGGGAGGAAACCAGAGCAGCTGCAGGGAGACAACATGCAATGTCCTCACAGAGGGGCTCAGGTCAAACTGGGGTTTGAACCCAGAACCTTTTCCTGCGGGGGCTAACTGTTCAACCGCGAATCACTAATTTAGACATGGTGAACATTTGACCTTTCAAATATCAGCATGTTAACATTGTCATCAGGTGGAGTGGTGGGAACAATCTGCTGGTCAGTGTCAGTTTTACATTCACACTAAATCTTTACATTATATTGTCTTCACTCAAATTCTTTACTTTAAATTCTCTCTGTTTTCTTCTCTGCTGCCCCCTTGTGGCAAGAATAAAAATGTATTTTGTGGATCACAAAACACACTGACTAATATTCCCAGTTGGTCTAACAGTGTTAATGAGACACGCCAGATTTTAATTGGCAAGAATAAAACTACATTTTCATCTTGGCTGATAAATAGTAGCAAGGCAAAATATATAATATATATTTATGTTGTATTATCTTACTTGTTAAATCTGGTAAAGCATGTTTTGTTTTGATTTTCTTCTTAAATACTGAATCTTTATTTTTCTTGTTGAGAGAAAATCATTGGAGGTTTTTATCTGCTTTCACCTGTAATAACCCAAATTATAACATGTATACATATATATATATATATATATCATGTTTGCATCAGTTCACCCACAGCACGTTGTCTAGCTTTAATACTGATGATGTTATTTATCTGCAGGAGAATTTTCCAGTTCTGGACAGACAATGTTTTTATTTTATTTATGGTGAACAAACAACATATAAAACAAATTGGATACAATTGAAAATAGTTTTGTTAAATCCCTCAACATCACTGAATTAAATGAAAATAAGATGTTAAAAATATCTGTACTAATATGGATTTTATTATTTATACACACAAATATTTACATTTTAATATATTGACAGATCTAGTTATTTTGTTTACCAGTTACAAATAATATGAGAGGTCATCTTGATCTATAGTTTCATTTAAAATCACAAGTTAAACTTAAGTTGAGCTTCAACTTTTTTTAAAAAACGCCAAAATAAAGAACCTGCTTTCAGCTGCGCTCCTCATTGTGCCTCGTCACTGGCCGTAGTTGACGTCATCAAAACGGGCCGGGCAGACGCAGCATGGAGGCGCTGCTTCACTGAGGGATTTTGACCTTTTAACGTTTGTCCTACAGTAACTTGTCGGTGAGTTGGTTTGTTTGTGTGTATTTTAATTTCTCTGCTGGTCTGTGTTCGTGTGGATCAAAGTACGTGCAGCTCGTAGCCGCAGCTTTTCGGTGAATGTGTTTGTGAAGCTAAAACCTTCGCGAAGCTAAATGTAGCTGCTGGTTGTCATCTTCATTCATAACAGAGTTCTGACGTAACGATACTTTATCTCAGTTACAACTTTGGACCTAAAATATAAAATGTTAAAATGATACAATACTTTACACAAAGATCAGATAAAAGTCCAAAAACTGCAGCAGAAATATGTGTAAGAATTTTATTTCCCTCTTTTGTGTTATTCCTGTCATGAGCCCTCTGATTTGTCTTGTGACCCTTTGGCTGGAAACCTCTGAACTTGTTAAGAATCATCTCCAGCTAAAGAAGCAACATTAGTTAAGGCTGTGAACACAGTGATGCATCGGTATTAACAATCTAATAACAACAAATGCTGTATAATAGTGTAATTTCACTGCAGGTTGTTAAAGCAGAGCTCAGCCCCCCTCAACTGATCACCTTGTTTTCTTTGTCTTCTGTACTACAGGCTTAGTTAGTGTTTTCCAGAATGTCGGTCAAGCAGGCGTCGGTCCACGCCAAATGGATCATCGGCAGTGTAATAGGGACAAAGATGTCCAAAACTGCCAAAGTTCGAGTCACTAGACTGGTGCTGGATCCTTACCTGCTCAAGGTGGGTCATTCACTGCTTCTACAGGAGGGACAGGTGACATGGTTGTTACTGCACAACAGTAATACCAAGGCCTTGTTAATGTCTTATCAGTTTCATATTATAATGAGGTGAAACACATCTCTATGGTTTATTGATTTACCTGTAGTCACATGCAGGACATAACTTTATTGTGTAGAACCAAATGATATTCAGTTTCTGATCAATGAGTGATTCCTGTGCAGCGATTACATATTTGAACAAGTCTAACGATGTATTTTCTCCCTGATAGTACTACAACAAGAGGAAGACTTACTTTGCCCATGATGCTTTGGAACAGTGCACCATAGGAGATATTGTCCTCCTCAAGGCTCTGCCTGAGGCCAGGTCAAAACACGTGAAGCACGAACTGGCTGAGATAGTGCATAAAGTAGGTCGGGTGGTCGACCCGCTGACAGGAAAGCGTGTTGCAGGAGATGAGTTCCTGGAACCTCTGACTGACCTCCCACTCGTCCTGGAAGGCGAGACAACGTTATCGGAAAAACTGCAGGAGCTCAACATCTCTGCCGCCACCACTGGAACCGAATCCCTGCCACCAGCTACTCCAGCACCATGATAGAAAACTATGTTCTTGTGTGTGTTAATATTAGTTCAAACACATGTTTCCGGTGTTGTTCATGTAAATATTCATCTCTAAACCATTCATCTGTAATATATGAAGTTAGACGGCCTGAATCAGTTTCCTCGCTGCCTGCTCAGGTAGTTTGAAGTCACACAATAAAATTACAAAACATGTGCATTTCTGCTCTCAGACAAAAGATGGGAACAAAAAGTCTCAATAAAACAAAACACTTTTTTTTAATGAACATCAGTGACTGGTGCTGTTTTACTTGTTGTTCTGGTTCAGATGTACATTCAGAAAGTCTGCTATGACTCCTGAAATTACTTTGTCGGAACTTCGCTACGTTTACTCGGTGACCAATAATTCAACTAATGACTTTTTCTGAATAAGACATGATTTTGATTATTTATTGATCAGAGTACTCACATACTACTTTGATTACTGATTATTCTGACCATTACTCTGACCTTCTTCATATTCAGCAACATGCCAGAGTCTTGTTTAGAGTATTACATTAATTAGGTTAATATACTATTACTGTCCAAGTAGATATTGTTATAAACATGTATGAGTTTTTCAGTGAATGTGTCTGCTCATGTCATCTTCCCTTTATTCATAACACAGTACTGACATAACATTACTTTGAACGTCTCTGCTTTAATCTTTAATACTGGAGTTACTACAGATAATTGAGTAATGTTTAAGGTTTAGCATTTAAATCGCTTTAAATCCCAGAGTTTTTACCTTAAAGACTTTTTCTTTTTTTGGGAGGGTAATGTATTTTTACATTTCATAAATCTATGTGTTGTTAGTAGTTTCACGTAAAATACTTTTTGTTAAATCAAATTAATATTATACTATTGCAGCCCAAGTAAATACAGTTATTAACGTGCCTGGACATGTAGTGTTTGTTTAAGTTATATCCAGAATACAAAGTTACATTTATACGTGTAATAGAAGTTACTCCAACAGACTGTGTTTAATCAGCTGCTGTGATAATAAACACTCCGTTAGCATCAGTCCTCCAGAGAGTCCGATCACCCGCCGTTCACTGAGCCCGGTACATTCACTTAACACCGGGGAAGTAACGTCAGCTCCTCCGGCTCCAGGCTGCTCTCTGACCCGGCTCCAGGCTCCTCTCTGACCCGGGACCAGGCTGCTCTCTGACCCGGCTCCAGGCTCCTCTCTGACCCGGGACCACCCTCCTCCATCAGTGATCCGAGTAAAGATGGCGACCCGAGTCCTTCAGAGAGTCGGCTGCGGCCTCACACGGACCAAACACGGGCTCCAGGCGGGCGGACGCGTCGCTGTGGCAGCGAGGTGAGAGTTCTTACACGTGGGGGAGAGAACCGCTCCAGATGCGGGGCTGCAAAAATAAAAACGTTTCGAGTCAAAGACAGAAATAAAGTCCGACATGCTAGGTGGCTAAGCTACGTCCGGGATGCGCGTGCAGCATAGTTAACTGGAGCTAGCCTCCAAACTTGCTAATCCCCCACCCCCCCCCACTGCTAATGCTAATGCTAACTATCAGCCACCAGGGTCAGAAAGTTGTTTACTTCTTCGTCGTTAGAGCAGAAGTAGGTTTACAGCCGCCGCGTGCAGAAATAATACAAAATAATAATCATACAAAGTGTGTGTGTGTGTGTGTGTCAAACTTCAAGGTCAACATGTTGCTGCACCGGAGTGTTTTGATTCAGTAAATATAGACTGTGTGTGAGTGTGTGTGTGTGTATGTGTGTGTGAGTGTGTGTGTGTGTGTGTGGTTTCATGCTGCAGCAGGTTTAACCTTCATTAAACTGCAATGACTAAACTTTTAACAACTGAAATACTGCAAATAAAAAAGCTTTAGTTAAATATCTCTCAGTTTTCCTTCAGCTGTCAAATATCTGATTTTGAGGCACAATCATTTCACGGATTGGTTTTAAATAAAGTTTGTAAAGCACCAGGGAATTGAACACTGCACATGTGTTGAGGCTGCTGACACGTCCACTGATCCTCTGGTGTATGTACAGTATGTTCACAGCCCTCTCAGCTTAGAGCCTCCTCTGAGCCGGAGCTCTTGGGCCTCTGTCTGTGGTTGTAGTCTTTACTTTACATAGTGTTTAGACACTGATCGCGCTCTTATCAAGGAAGTTTTACTTGTTTTACACGGTTTATCACATGTGCAGAAGTAAAGCTTGATCTATAACGGATTTTTGAGGCTGGAATGTTTTTTAAATGTTATCATATTCAATATTTTGGATTAAATCTGCATTGAGTTACTATTGTTTGACACATACAAGACAAAACTTGCATATTGTGACAAATCATCTGCCTTGAAAATAAGTAAATAGAAAAGTTTCCAGTTTGCTTTTGAAATTGAGCAAAGTTGCAACAGATATCAGGTCATTACACAGTTTGTTTCAAAGAATTGAATGTGTTCCCATCAGACCAGCTACAATTAGAAAAATAACATTGCACTTAGGAGCCAAATAGCTTTAACGACTCTACATATTATTACAGAGTTCTCTGTTGTTTCTGTTGTGTGTTTTATTTCTTGTGTCGTGGACGCAGTGCTGACCTGCAACTTCTGTACTTTGTGTTTCACCACAGGAGCTTTACAGGTCTACGTGAAGACAGCTGGTTCAAGTCTCTGTTTGTGAGAAAGGTCGACCCCAGAAAAGACGCTCACTCTCATCTGCTCGCCAAGAAAGAAGACAACAATCTGTACAAAATACAGTGTATGTGTGGTTTGTGACTGACTTCATTCAACAAAATGACTATAACTTAAATAACACCAAACATTTCCCCTGAGGTTGATCTTGCAAAATCTTTTAGATGATTAAATATCCACTCAGATTTTGTTGTTTTCCTGCAGTTCACAATGTCAAGCCTGAATGCCTTGATGCTTACAATGAACTCTGGTAAGAATCCCTGTTGCTTAACTGACTTCATGCACTTGTCAGGTCAAAGCACTGGTTAAATATGGACTGATAATATAGATGTATTTTCATGTGTATATCCTTAGTGAGGACGTCTTGCCTTCTATTCACGCTAACCCTGAATACCCCTGTGAGCTGGTGGGCACCTGGAACACATGGTATGGAGAGCAGGATCAGGCAGGTAAGAGCACACATGACGTTCTGTGTCATGTTCACATTAATCACAGTCTTCAATACCTGCAGTGATGAATCAGCTTGTGCAATGAACTCGTTGATCAATCAGGTAGTCCTCACTTCAACAAATACCTAAAAGGACCAGGGGGTTAAACAAGTAACAGGAAATTAATTTACAAGATCCCGTTGGGATCAGGGAACGTGTATTGAAACACAGAAATCCGTCACCTTGAAAATCTACTTTATTTCCTCACTGACCCTCTGATGTTACTTTACAACATTACAGTTGTTTACTGCTGCTGGGAAACACATTTTGGTTTTAAGGGATTTCTGGACTGTGACATTTTCTCCTCTCGGGCTCTCAGAGGATATAAAGACAGACATCTCATAGGAGCATTGCAGTTGTTGTTGCTCCTCCTCAGTTTTACAAACCTTCACTTTCATATTGCAGTTAATTATAGCTGTGGGTGTATTTCACTGCTCTTCTCTTGTGGTGACCTTTGTCCTTCCTGTAACTCTAAAGTTAGTGTGAGACCTCAGCGATGATAACCCAACAGGCTACATTACACTGTACACAGGATACAAAAGTGGCTATGTAGCCTTAGAGTAATGAATACGTTCAAAGCTGTAAGAGGCTGCACACTCACTGTACTAACATACACACCTATACAGTCAAGTGAGAGCCCCACAGTTGTGAATAGTGTTGGTATCTTATTTCTCATTGACCAGTGATTCATGGTTGAGTCTCATCATGCCAGCTCCACCTGGCAGGTAGTTTAGAGACATAAATAAATAACCTAGAGAAAAATATCTTGCCCAAATAATTTTGGACACACAGATATATTTGAGGGCTGCATTATTCTTGGCTCTTCTGCTCCTTCTACTCTAGTTCACCTGTGGAGATATCGGGGAGGATACCCGGCTCTCACCGAAGTCATGAACAAACTCAGGCAGAATAAGGTAACGGGTGCTCGGACTAGTTCAGTTAACTGACACCTGGTGGTCTGTAAGTTTCCTCTTCTGGCAGTGCACCCATCAAATCCGACCCTGAGAGCATTTTTCAGTTCCTGTGTTGTTCTATGATTTTTCAGCTGACTCTGATTTTGGTATAATTGTCTTTAAAGCTCACTTACAGAACTGTAGACTGTAAATAAGGCTTAGTGCAGTTAATGGACCCAATCCTGCCTGATCCATATGGTATATTCTTGTTTAATGGTCACATGACCTGGATTTTCTGTTTTCTTTTTGGTCTGATGTTTTCCTTAAACATTAAGAAATTTAAAAATGTTGATGTGATTCATTAGTGGAAATTCACAATTTCAATGAAGCCATTATTAAACTAAAACAGGCAGATTTGTGCTTTTTAAAATACTCTTTACTCTTCTGGCTTTTCAACATCTCTTTTGTATTTCAAGCAAACTAAACCCATTAGATAATTAAAGAAGGGAGTTTGTGTGCTGGAGCTGGATGTTAACTTTTGTTGTCTTGACCCACGGAGTTTTTATATTTTACACATGTTTTACGGGCTGGTGATCTGAGCTGGATTAACTGTTAACGTGTTCCTGTTGTTTTTCGTTGCTGTAGGACTTCACGGACTACAGGACAGAGAGGGGGAAGATGCTGCTGTCTCGTAGGAACCAGTTGCTGCTGGAGTTCAGTTTCTGGAACGAACCTGGGTCTCGTGAAGGGCCCAACATCTATGAGCTCAGATCGTACCAGCTCAGGGTAAATCTTCCTCTTATATTTTCCAGCCTCTGATGCATTCATTTCTGTTGCAGTAGCGAACGGTCTGATTTATACTTTAATTTCTTTTTTCAGCCTGGAACAATGATTGAGTGGGGAAATTACTGGTAAGACATAACTTTCTAAATCTTTTTGCTTTCATTGTACACACAGTTATGGAACTACCATTATCGTTGTATGTACCATTTGAAAAAAAAAATCCTCACTATTTTATTGGTTTTCCAGATTGTAGCAGATGAATATGAGTCAACGGTATTTCTGACAGCAAAACCTATGCATGACTCCTGAGCATGACTAGATGTATCGCACTTCATTTGTAAATCTTAAACATAATTCTGGATTTTAATATGTATGTGTATTTGATTAACTCAATAATGATTATGTGAAATTTGCCTGTTAATGTAATTAAACCAAACATACTGAAAAGTTTTGAACAATTCTGAGGTTGTATCGTCAAAATTTCATGCTCTAATTTCTAAAGAATTTATTGGGATATTGGTGAATGTCATTTAAATCTGAAAACCTAATTCACACTAGTGGTTTAATCAGTAGGGTTGATTTTGAATTGAATGTTTTTCTTGTTTAACCCGTCTTTGATGCTCTGCAGGGCGCGTGCTATTGACATTCGCCAGCAGAACCACGAGGCGGTGGGAGGCTTTTTCTCTCAGATAGGGAGTCTGTACACGGTTCATCACTTATGGGGTGAGCAGCACTTATGAGTTTAATACACTCATGATATTGTTTTTACAAGAAAATACACATAAAAGTTAAATTCTATCAATACTAAGACAAGACTGTATTACAAATTATTACATTCATGTATTTGTGACGTACTTACATGTTCACTGGGTTTAATGCCGTCCACATTTTCTCAAGTTTTCTATCAATGTGACTGTTCAGGAAATATATTATGTACTTTTAGGTCATGGAAGTTATCTATATAATTTAAAGTGAAAAGTAAAGGGATTTTTTAAGATAAGATTTTGCTGTAGGTACAGAAAAAACAGATGCATCGACTAAAGGAATAAATAAATAAACACACATTGTTTTTCTTTTAGCTTACAAAGACCTTCAGTCCAGAGAAGACACCAGAAACGCAGCGTGGCAGCGTGAAGGCTGGGACGAGGTTGTTTATTACACAGGTGAGTCGCACCTCTTTACATAATACTACAAATTCTGTTGTTCAAATTACTTAAATTTTAATTTAAGAACAACAATATTTGTTATTGAGGTTTTCATGTGTGAAGACTAGTAACAGTGGATCACAGTTCACTTTAGTAAACATCAGTTTGTCTATATAACATTATGATTTCTTATATATTTGCCATGTTGTGATATTCTTATTTTATTTGAAAATAACTGGACGGGCAATTTCAGAAATAGGCCTTGTTCTTATTTAATACCGTGCTTTTTATTTCATATAATTTTTTGCAGCTGCACATTTTCAAACAGTGAAGAAAATGTCTTGAACATTTAGCTCTTTGTAGAAAACACTGTGTGTGATATCGTTCATCACTTTTCAAATGCAAATATGCTGAGAAGAACTCTTGGTTAGAAGAAGACTGACACGTAGATGGTGTAACTGATGCTACGCATGTTGTTTCCTCCTCATCCACAGTCCCTCTCATTCAGCACATGGAGTCTAGAATAATGATTCCCATGAAGACTTCACCCTTGAAGTAACCAGAGTCACAGAGAAAAACCTCTCAACAGCGACTCCGACTACCACACACAGATCTGTAGAGAGCGTACCCAACTGTCGGAGTGTGCACTGCCAGGGATGTGGATGTGACATCAACACGTTGTGTTTGGTTTCTGTTTTCTTTCTTTGCTCCTCTTTTCGTGCGTGGGCCTAGAACGTCTGATTTTGATGTTGCGCTTGAATTGATTTATCATCTTAAACTGTATGTTACTGAAGTTACTGGTTTACTGATCATGTAACGCACTGTGTCCTATCTGACACACTCCTCATTCTCAGAATCTCCATTATATAATATATTGTCCTTTTTTTGTTTTTTTATTTAACGATTATCCAGAAAAATACTGTACCAGTGTTTGAGTGTTAAGATACAAGGAAGAGAAGTGACTTAGTCGGTTTGAGCAGTTGTAGTGCTCGTCATCTGGGCTAAAAATGTATTTCATAAAAATAAAACGTAACCTGACTTGGTTTAAGCCCCGTTGCACTACAGATAAAATAAAACGGCCTCCAGTATCTCACAACATAAAACTGAACCGAGAGCTCACAGTTCACCGTCAATATTAACAGAATGAGTCTATTTAAAAGTTACAGATGGTCAGTTTAACAAACAGGAGTGTGCTGTTTACAAATCAGTGTTGTATGATTAGTAACACTGATTAATAGAGTTAGTGGCCTGTGTTGCAAAACTGATTACTGTGTGCACCAGTGGTTTGTTTTCTTTCTCTAGTGTCCAGATTTATAGGTGATGTGCAGAATCAGGAGCCGACCACATCTCCAACATGAACATCAAGCTGTGTGTGTGTCGGGGGGTGATTAATTAAAACGATTAGAAAATGTGTCTTTGATCAGAACTGAATCAGTATCCACAGTACAAACTTCCATTCATTGACTGGTTTGGCCTTTCCCTATATCAAGAAATGAATGAATGCCAAGCGAGTGATTGTGAGCAGAGATTAATGTTTTTTTAATGGTCAGATGATAGATACGTATATATATATATATGTAGTGGGCTTATTCACCGAGCCAGAGATATGGTCGATCCTGTATAAATGAAATGGGGTTTTCGTATGTTGATAAACACGAGGACAGGAGAGGAGTAAAATATCTCAGTGTGATGAACGTGTAATGCAGTGCTTTAAAAGGTTAGTTGTACATATTGAATTAAAGTTCTGATGAAAATCTAAAAGTCCAGGACTCTTTATTCTTTCATGTTTTGTGTGAAATGACGGTACTTCCTGTATATTGTGACTTCAGCTCTCCACCAGAAATCAACCTGATATAGTTTAGTTCTTAGAAGTAACCAAACTGCTGCTGAAAAGTGAAAATAACAATAAAAAGAATTCTGAAAATATTAGTTATTCAAGTCAAAAAAAATTAATGTGAAGCTTCAAACTTCATCCACTAACAAGTTGACATCCAGGAGTGAATCATCTGAAGCTGCAGCTCACTTCCTCACAGCAGAATCAGTCATGGCTGGAAGGTTTTTCTGACCCTCGCTCTACATGTCAGTTTCACTTCTGCAGGTGGTAACCACAAACAGCCATGGTGCTCCTGAGCAGAAACTATGAGATCATAAATATTATATTATCTGGAAAACATTTTTGCTCATCGACCAATAGTTTGAATTAAAAAGCACAAATTTCACCACCAGCAGCTTCTTGAGTATTTGCTCATGTTCCAGTTTTTGTTTCTTGCTCAGACAATAAAATAAATCCTTTAACTTCAGAGATTAATGAGATTTCACTGTTTTCTGACATTTTCTATAAAATGATTTTGAGAGAAGTTGCAGAAGTTTCACATTAAGACGCAAGACTCTCGTTATATAGAGGACGTCATCACGTCGTCTGGGGTCTGACTAAAGCTGCCTTCACTGTGTGTCGGAAATCTGAGAAAAAACCTTAGTCACCCAATTTCCTCTAAATTTCAATTAGTTCTTAGTTTGGCTCTCCAGGTCTCACGTTTCATTTGTCATACATTAGTTAACACAGGGTCAACGCTACAATGAAAGTTGTTGGACGAGAAGAAATTTTCCAGCCCAGCAGGGCAATAGTTGAATCGGACGTGGTAGATGAACATTTAGATTATATATTTGTATATGTATAGATTGCTGCTGTATATAGGTATTCTCAATTGTATTTTCAAATTGCATATCTCACTCGAGGCCATCTCTTTTTGCATATTTTATATTGTCGCTTAGTGTACGTGTGTGCATGTATGTGTGTTTTAACTGAGACGTGTATGACCACATGAATTTACCCTTGTGGGATAATAAAGTTTATATTGACCTTAAAAATAAAACCAAGGAAGAAAGAACAATGTAGTGAACAGTTATTGGACATGTACACACACATGCAATATTTGTATGGCTTCAACCACTGTAAGAGAGGCAGCGTTAATGGATTAGCAATGTTGTTTTTGTAAAAAACATAAACTAAGGTGGTGAGGTTTTATTTTTTAATGTCACAATAAAGGAAGCCCTGATGTAAACAGTGGACGCTTTGTGAGCAGCAGAATGTCGGAGCTCAGACGGGTCCGTGAAGGCAGCAGGAGAGCACGTGTTGGACGCTTCTGGAAGCTGCTTCCTCTCTCTGGAGCGTCCGGGCCCGACTAGTGCGGACTCACACCCAGCGGCTCCTTCCAGCTCTTACCTCGCCATGTCTGCCGTGAAAGCTCTCAACCCTAAAGCGGAGGTGGCCCGGGCCCAGGCCGCCTTGGCGGTCAACATCAGCGCCGCCCGGGGGCTGCAGGACGTGCTGCGGAGCAACCTGGGGCCGAAGGGGACCATGAAGATGTGAGTGCTGGTGGAGCTCTTTGTGCAGCACGCGTGTTGGGCTAACCGGCTAACTAGCTACCGGCTAACGTTAGCGTCAAAAGTTCCCTGGTCGCCGCCCGGTTGCACAGTTATCTGAAAACAAACATTTCACCACCCTCCACATCCCCGGGGTAACTCTTAGTCACCCCCCCGCCTTGGGGTACTTCACCACGGGTTGAGTTAGCCGAGGCCTCCGGTGGCTGATCGGATTTTCGCGGTGCACGTTGCCCTGCCCAGTCATCGTCACGATCGGCTTTGGCAACCATCAAGCTATCGTTAGCATCACGCTGTTAGCTAATGATGCTAACGCTGAGATCGACAGAATGAATGTCGGTTAGCAGTTAGCTAGTCTTTATAATAACACGTGGGATTAACGAACTAATTAACGACTCAATTGTTAGTTCAGTGGTTTTAGGTAGTCTTGGTTAATCGCAGCTAATTCTCCATCATGTCTGTCGTTGCGGGTTTCTAACCCCGACTTCCCGACAGCTTCCACCGCTGCTCATCATCTCATGCTCGTTAACTTGTTAGCCCACCTCGGGCTGTGGTGAACCGGCCGCGGCTCCGCTCGGTGCTCGGTCTAAACTCTAACCCTCCCCCGCCTGTCTGATCCGCAGGCTGGTGTCTGGTGCAGGAGACATCAAGCTGACCAAAGATGGCAACGTCTTGTTACACGAGATGGTAAGAAAGTGCTGTCGCAGTATTTCTACACAATTTTTACTTCATTGTTTGACAGTGACCACACCCCTTTTGTTTGTGTGTGTAATTAAACATGATTTTAATTGTAGTCCTCCTAAGGTCTGATTCACTGGGGTAACCCTGGGAAGCTAATATTTTGGTTCTGGCTGATTTGTGTCTGCAGCACAGAGTACTGCTGGGTAATAAAGTGTATATAACTAGTGCAAAATAATTGTCATCAACAGCTGAATAAAGCTGCTTTCAGACATGCACTGAACTCTGGGTAATCTCCTGACATCCTCAGGAGAGGCTGCATGTGAGAACACAATTCACTGAGTCAGAGGAAAGATTTTTTTCTCCTGCCAGCCCCTTTAGTGAAAGCACCAGATAATGTCAGGGTGAGGGAAACAGCAGGAGATCATCCTGATGCGTCACCACGAGCGAGAGGAGGGTGTTGATTAAGTTTCTAACATTAGCCAAAAAACACCTGATCTCCGCAGCGGTATTTACACGCAACATCCTGGCTCTGCATGTTGTGTTACCTCTCATCTGAACGCTCTGGAGATTTGTGTTGTCGTGAATGCATCTAAGCAGAAAATCACCATTAAAGGCAATTCTGCTTTTAAAGTTGCACTGGTTTTTTTTCCCTTTACAGCAAATTCAGCACCCGACAGCATCATTGATTGCAAAGGTTGCCACAGCGCAGGATGACATTACAGGAGATGGAACAACCTCCAATGTCCTCATCATCGGTGAACTGCTGAAGCAGGCTGATCTCTACGTGTCAGAGGTAAAACAGAGACTTAAAAAGCATAAAGATCTCAGGTCTGGCTGTGTTTTTTTTAGTAATGTGATCTATGTAATACAAATATCATCAGAATCTGTCTATATCGAGTATGTTTTCTTGCTGCAGGGTCTTCATCCAAGAATCATTGCTGAGGGCTTTGAGGCAGCTAAAGAGAAAGCCTTGGCTGTTCTGGAAGAGTTGAAGGTGACTCAGGAAATGGACAGAGAGACGCTCATCAATGTGGCACGAACCTCTCTCAGGACCAAGGTCCATGCAGAGCTGGCGGATCTGCTCACTGAGGTGAGACATGAGGGAATGGTGTTTGGAACACGAGAGCTGAGACTCAGTTTGACTTCGAATTCAAATGATCTTGTTGTCATAAGCTCCTACAGCCCACAGTGCTGAGTCAGTCAAAAACCCACACAAGCAACTCTTTGCCTGAGAACCAGTTAGTCCTTCAATAAGATCTCTGATTCATTTTTAACACTTAAAATGAAAATATATTAAATATCCAGAGACTTTTACCCTTAGTTTTAATTTATTTTAAAGGATCCTACTGCATTAATATATATTTATTTATTTCTATAAATATTTTCTTCTTCAGGCTGTAGTAGATGCTGTGCTGGCTATTGCTAAACCCAATGAACCCATCGACCTGTTCATGGTGGAAAGCATGGAGATGAGGCACAAGACCGACTGTGACACACAGTGAGTTTTAAGACAGCTCATCCTTTTACTGAAGGTGAAGTATTGTACAGGGTCCCTAGATATCTAAAGGTCTTTGTCTTTCTTCTTTCTCAGACTGATCAGAGGTTTGGTGTTGGACCACGGTGCCCGACACCCCGACATGAAGAAGAGGGTGGAGGATGCCTACGTGCTGACTTGCAACGTCTCTTTAGAGTATGAAAAGACAGAAGTCAACTCTGGCTTCTTCTACAAGAGCGCAGACGACAGGGAGAAGCTTGTGGCTGCTGAGAGGAAGTTCATTGAGGATCGAGTGCAGAAGATCATTGCCCTGAAGAACAGTGTCTGTCCCAATGGGGAGAAGGGATTTGTCGTCATTAACCAGAAGGTATGCTTGAGGGATTCACTTATACTCTACTTTTCAGATGGCTTAGGGATTCTTAGAAGACTTGAATATTACACTGGCTACTTTAAGTTCCACTAAATATGAACCCAACTCCTTTCATGAGCAGTCATATTCAATGCACAGGGAACACCCAAGGGTGCTAATGTGGTTCCCCCTGGTCTTTTATACCTGTGCTACAGTAATTTTCTGATCTGTACCTCTGCATTAGAAGAGCCCCTTCCTCTCCTACATGTATTCAGCGGATCAGAATAATCTGACAGGAGTAAACAGTGAAACAAGTATTTCTTGAATTGATCATCTTATATCGTTTGTTTAATGTTTTTTTCTCTTGTTTAGGGTATTGACCCATTCTCCCTGGATGTCCTTGCCAAGGAAGGCATCGTAGCACTGCGCAGGGCTAAGAGGAGGAACATGGAGAGGTAATAGTATTTACTGTACAATAAAACAAGGTAGCCATAAGTTTATTGCAGTTATTACAGTCGTTACTGGGACTGGTCATTTTCACAGCACACTTCATTAACAGTTTGACTCTGCTAAGCCACAAGGGGGCTCCCTTTAGCCTGTTGTTCTGTCTGTCAAGCTCCAGCTTATAACATTCTCTCCTTGTGTCTCTGAACCGCCACCAATTTGTAGCAAAATGAATTTTTATTATGAGACTGATGATAAGGAAACTTACTTTCTTACAACTGCACATGTTGTGTTGGTTTTACTTTATGATGTGCAACTTCTCGTCCCTTCCAGGCCCATTGAGAAACTTTTCCCTCACTTTCCCTCAAAGTATAAATCATGTTTACTGTCTTTAGTCTTTCAATCAGAAAGGTCAACATACATCTAACATTTTGGAGCAAACTTTCAAAGTAGCAGAGATGCAGCATCTTCATTAGCCCTCAGCTTCTGACTCCATCTGGACCTGCACTGGGGACTAGTGCTTTCTAATGCAGCTTTAGTTTGGTTGACAATGTTCTCAGCAGGATCATGTTTTTATTATTAAAGTTATTATAGGTGAGTTTTTCTCTCGGCAGGCTCACCCTTGCTTGTGGTGGCATTGCCATGAATTCAGTTGATGACCTCACTCCTGAGTGCTTGGGACATGCTGGGTTGGTCTATGAACACATACTGGTAAGAATTAATCTTAAATTGCACCGTAACAGTTTGTGTGTGTGTGTTTTACATGTTCAACATATCGAGGCAGAGCTGTTGATAATCCTGGATCTTGTTTGCAGGGAGAGGAGAAGTTCACGTTCATCGAGAAGTGTGGGAACCCTCGCTCCGTTACTCTGCTGATAAAGGGACCCAACAAACACACTCTCACGCAGATCAAAGATGCTGTCAGGGATGGTCTGCGGGCTGTTAAGAACGCAATAGAAGATGGTAAAACACCTGAACTTGAATGTGTTCCTGTCACTCTTAGCTATTGCTAGCTCCAGTCCTTTCTCTTGATTCTGACCGTATCACAACACTAATAAATATCAGTTTATATATTTTTTTATTCTTTGGTCAAATGCTGTTAGTCTCATTTGCACAGCGAACACCCAAGGATGCTAACATGGCTCCCCCTGGTCTATCACGTCTGTGCTACAGTAACTCTGGTCTTTTCCTCTGCATTAGGAGAGTTGCTGTCTCCCCTACATGTATTCAGTTGATCAGAACAAACTTGCTAATATTTATTTTTACCACTGAAGAATTTCTTTTAAATACACTGATCTGAAGCACTTTTGCTTCTTTTCTTTTTTCTTTTTTTTTTTCACCCTTAAAAATCCTCGTCATCTTTGTCTCCTCAGGAAGTGTTGTGTCCGGCGCAGGTGCGTTCGAGGTGGCTGTGGCAGACGCTCTGGTAAAACACAAGCCAAACGTGAAAGGCAGAGCTCAGCTGGGAGTCCAAGCATTTGCAGATGCTCTCCTAGTCATCCCTAAGGTGATTCCCCCCCACCCACAAACTCTCTTCTGTCGTGCCACTCATATCTTTTCTGGTCCCCATCGTTAGACAGGAAAATTGTCAAAGATTTGTAATCTGTCAGTATTCATTCTACTTGAACCTCTGTTGATATCAGTTATACGTCCTCCATTGTAGGTTTTAGCCCAGAACTCTGGCTACGACCCACAGGAGACCCTGCTGAAGCTGCAGACGGAGTACAAAGAGTCTGGTCAGCTCGTCGGAGTTGACCTCAGCACAGGTCAGGACCTCAGCACACTATTAATAGAAAATTGTATTCAACTGGTTCCAAACACAATCACATCATAGTAATATAAGACTGTTAATTCATCAACTCAAATTTAAGTTAAGTACTCAGCATCAAGTACATACAGATGTCAAATGGCAATGAATTGGCAAAAGGTTTAACTCTTAGACATCAGATGAGCTGGAGCGTATTAAAACTCCTGCTTGTTTTTATTTTGAGTCATGGTTTTATTATTTTATGCCTTTCGAGGTTGATTCAATTACATCATAACCTTTACTTGTTGTTTTCAGGGGAACCCATGGTGGCAGGAGAAGCAGGTGTATGGGACAATTACAGTGTCAAGAAACAGCTTCTCCATTCATGGTGAGATTTGAATTTCCAAACTATAAATGACCAGTGGAATGTTTAACAAAAATGCATTGTTGAAGCTCATCGATACATGTGTGTTCTTGTCTTTACAGCACGGTGATCGCCAGCAACATTCTGTTGGTAGATGAGATCATGCGAGCTGGAATGTCTTCTCTCAAAGGTTAAAGGTCAAGTGAAGAAGCCGCAGCTGTTTGTCATACATACACAGGGATAGCTCTTTTCCTGGCGGTTCAGTCGACGTGTTCCTGCTCTTACCACTCTGAAGAACCCCAGTCTGAAGGACTGCCTGCTGTCAACACCACTGTGTCCATCAGTGTCCGTCAGAAACCATTGTTCTCCTAGTCATTGTTCGATTTCATGAATTTGTTAACGCCTCCCTCTGATTAGTTTATTTATGAGATTTTTGTTAAAAGCACTGACCGCCATTGCCATTCAATTTTGTTTCTGCCCATTAAAGGTTTTCCTGGCTCCTGAAAGACTGTTTGTGTTTCTGTGAAGAGTGAATGGATTAAAAAGTTGTTTTTTTCCAATGAGTGACTGCTTCAGCGTTATGAGCCACTTCCAGACTAAACTTTACAAACAGTAACATCACCAAATGTAGGCTGAAATTCATTTACTGAAAAATATAAATGGCTTAACACCATGCGGCTCTATGAGACTAGATGAAGTTACAGATACAATAAGGTAAAAACACTTGTTTTACTTACATTTAAATTCCTAGTGCAGTTCTCGGGTAACGTTACTATAAATGTGTTGAATGTGCATTATTTTTCTTAAAAGTTTAAATCGTTTTAAAGATGATTAACTTGTAATGCAGGCGTCAGTAGTTTCATTTGCCAAAATATGAGATTTCAATGAAATAGGTTTCAGTTGTCAGTTATTTCTGTATTTTAAATAGACCATGTAAAAATCTAACACTAGTTCCAGCAAAGGAAGAAGTGATATTTTATTGGCTTTAATATTTTGTTTGAAAATACACGAAGCCAAAATTTAAAGCGGAACCAAAATATTCATACACGGAACCTGTTCATCGCTGCACCCTCTGTTGTCACCGTGAAATCTGTCCGAAGCATGAATCTTTGTTTCTTCTTCTGTCTCTGAAGCTTCTCGTTAAATGGCTGTTTGCTCAGTGAAGCTCATTGAAAATGAAGGTTAAAGTAGCGTCGTGCATCTCTGCTGTGCTTCTACTGACGGTGGCAGGTGAGATCTCACTCTTAAAAACTTTAATCCACATATTTCCCACTGATCGTCGTTATAAGTGAACTTCCTCCCTGACACAGCGGCAGAGATGGTGTCTGTACCAGGAGGACACATGTTGATGGGAACCAGAGCAGCTGATGGGAGAGATGGAGAATCCAACACTAAGGAGGTGCAGCTGGGACCTTTTCAAATGGACAAGTATCCGGTCACCAACACTGACTTCAGGTGATCAAGCCTCAAACCTCAGCTCATGGTGTGGACGATAAGTTGCATGTTAACGTCCTTCTGCCTTGGTTCTCCACAGAGACTTTGTCAGAGCGCAGAAGTACAGAACTGAAGCTGAGACGTTTGGCTGGAGCTTTGTGTTTCAAGACTTTGTGTCTGAGGAGCTGAAGAGTAAAGTCACACAGAAAATCGAGGTACTGTGATGATACATATGAGTGTTTGGACGTTTCCTGTGTCTTAGTTTGAAACTTGAACGACTTATACCAACCTAAATTTCCCTCAAACTTTTTAAAATTAAGATCCACGCATTGCATCCTGCGGAATCTGTGACAATAAAAGAAAAACTGGGGGAAAAAGTTCCAGGATCTGCGTATTTGTCGTAGCAACATTTTAAGGATACTGTATTGATCCATGTCTCATCATTCCACAAAGTTTTGTGGGTAATCTGCGACGGTAGTTTTCAATGTTTCTGTCTGAGCTTATATTTGATGTATGAAATATTAGGATTTCTGTTTGACTTCATGTGTCTGACCTAATTAATCTTTCTAACACATATAAACAGTTTTCCCAAACTATAAACAACACAACCATGTCCATAACTTTCACTTTTGTCTCCCCTCCAGTCTGCTCCCTGGTGGATGCCTGTAGAGCGAGTGTTTTGGAGACAGGTGAGTGTTTTGCCTCATTTTCTTATTTTCTTTTTTTCCTTCATTTTCTTTCATTTCGCCCATCGTGCCTCCATCGGCTCCCTCTCACCCGTCTGACTCTCTGCTGCTCAGCCTGCAGGACCGGGGTCAGGTATTCGGGAGCGCCTGGACTTCCCGGTGGTTCAGGTGAGCTGGAACGATGCTCAGGCTTTCTGCCGGTGGAAGGGCAAGAGACTGCCAACTGAGGAGGAGTGGGAGTGGGCTGCACGTGGGGGGATGCAAGGTACACTTTACTCAGAAAACATACAATTGTCCTTTATTAAACAGAGTAAATACTATTTTTATTCTACATTGATGCGTCTGGTCAGTTCCAGACCAGAGTGCTTAGTTTTATTGATCATTTAGCTCAGTAATCTAATCACTTCATTGTTTTCTGTCCTCTCACCTCTTTCCTGCCTCTTGTGTTTCAGGTCGAACTTATCCGTGGGGAAACAAGTTCCAGGCCAACAGAACCAACCTGTGGCAGGTCAGCCCACTACAGTGATACATAGTGAATCAGCTTTCATTCACACTCTCACATGAAGTGGGTGAAATGAAAAACACTTTGCAATAACTGGTGTTTTTTTCTGTGTGGTTTAGGGATCGTTTCCAGATGGAGACACTGCGGAGGATGGATATCACGGCATTTCACCGGTCACTGCCTTTCCTCCTCAGAACAGCTATGGTAACTGACCCTGTATTAAAATAGATAATTAGATGATGTAATGTTCCAGAACTGTAGTAACAGATATACGTGATTTAGTTGAGAGAAATAGCCTGAAAGACTCTAACCCTGAAAACCAAATATCTAGTTATCATAACAATATTATAATAACTCAGATGATTCTTCCTGCAGGAATTTATGATATGATGGGAAACGCGTGGGAATGGACGTCCACGCCTTTTCCCGGAACGAGTCCGATGTTTGTGCTGCGTGGTGCCTCCTGGATCGACACGGTGGATGGGTCAGCCAATCACAAGGCTCGAGTTACAACCAGGTGGGTTATTTTTTACAGTGTTTCTGAGATCTCACAGACTGCGGCTGTCCTGAGTGACCGATGTTGTGATTGTGTGTCCTGCAGGATGGGCAACACTCCCGACTCTGCCTCTGATAACCTGGGATTCAGATGTGCTGCCGACCACGCACAGAAACAAGGGAAGAACCAGGACAAAGCAGAGCTGTAGGAACTCAGGTGTTGATCTAATATGGATCTAATGACTTTCAAGTTGAGAAGGGGCAAGAAAAAAATGACAGGACCAAAAAATACGTCAGCCATTTCCCACATGAACCCGTTTTCCTGCTGTAATCTCAAATGGGCTCACTCTGATATTTTCTGGATATTTCATGAGGGGGCCGGTGGGAAAAATATCTGGAGCAACTGACTCGCACATTTGCATTCTCACATGCAGCCCCCCCACCCCGGGTAATTGATATGTTAATGAATAATGATGATGACAAAAGATAGTGTAATAATAAACTGTATTTCTCCTGTGGAGAACATAGATTTTTTTGAATACAAACACACTAACACATAATATCAAGCAATAAATAATTTTCCAAAAAAGTCTATTCTCACTGTTTTTATTTTGTAGTAATTCAAATACAAATCTCAGGCTGAGATCTTTAGAAGAAGGAGTGAACACTTGAATGGATGAAACAGGACACTGGGACATTGGAGGTCTTCCCTCCACATCCTGGGATCTGTCTTTTGTTGGGTCTTTTTATGTGACTGGAGAGTAAATTGGATTCTGGTGGTTTGCTGAAAGCCTCTTCTAATCCCGTCTTTGTCTTTTTGTTTACCTCTGTGTCACGTGTCACCCACTCAGTGGTCGTGAGGACTGATTCTGTTTAATAACACCTCAGACATTTTAACACAACTTTGTTTGAGTATCAAGTAACTGAAAAGCCAAGTTTCTATTTCTGTTCTTTAGAAACGATCAAATGGTTTTGAGCCAAACACACAAGCAGTAACATTGAGTGAAATTCAGTTGTTGGTGACTTTGAATGAATCTCTTCATTGTGAAATATATTTTTGTTTTTTCTGGAGGACAGTAATTTAATACAGATGCAATGAAAATTTGAACAGAACTAGTTTTGTAAATGCAGAATATGGAATACTCTTTCATAACAAGCCCCACACTTCACTCTCCCTCTCCACTGCATCTGAGCAGCCTGATATTTTCACTGGACACCATCACACTTCTGCAGCCTGTGCAGCCTTTCTCCAGACATGAAGAACTCCTAACGGTGGATGATGCAATGTAAGAACGTTCCTCAACACCAACGCAAATTCATTCGAAAAAAAGGCAATAAGAAAGAGAGAAATATATAAAAAGATACAAATACATTTTAAGAGTAAAATAAATGCTAAGTTACAATAGAATAACTGGCAGAACATTTTCTGTTTCATGAAAAAAGGCCTTGAAGGTTTAAATTAAAGGACTAAATTACTTGTTGACAGGTTCTTAATTCACTGAAGAATAATGATAGATAGTAGATGTGATCTATTAATCCTGGAACGTACTGTTGTTGGACCTGTTTTGAGTCAAATGTAAAATATTCCAAAGCAACCATCGACAGTGAAGAGTCCACCTGACTGAATGGTAAAGAAGGTGGAGGTGAAGGGGCTGGGAGAGCACCTTCCCCTGCACCACAGAGGATCAGTCAGCGCAGGTGAGAGCTGTTAGCTGATTGAGCCTCATGCTTGAAAAGGCAGCAGCAGAGCTGCCTCAGGGGGGCACACTGGGGAAGAGACTGGACTAGCCACTTAAGTTGAGTGTTGGTGTAAGTTTCTGTTTTATATTAATAAAGATGTTGCTGAGCCCCGAATGGCGTAACTGGTTCGTCTCTGGCTGTCGTGGTGGGAACCCCGTGGCATGGTCTACTGCCACAAAAACATTTGTGGCAAATGGCTCCGACAGGGACCTGAGAAGAGAAAAACACTTGCTGCATCAATACCAGAACTGGTGTGTAATTAAAGGTTATTATTGTTTTTTTTATACAGTAGGGTGGGGGAATACAAACGTGACCTGACATTTTAAAACTGGCAGAACATCATGTCACGTATGAAATAAGGAAAGAACAAACTGATGATAATATAATTGTGGTGTATGTTAATGTACTTTGGCCACAGCCTTTAAAACAACTCCCATCTGCCTGCAAGTTATATATTAAAAAAAAGAGTCAGTCGGTGAATGAACAACAAAAAACAAACAAACAAAAAAACGAACAGAGAAATAAATGAGTTCATTAGATGATGAAAAATCATATTTTTATATTCATTGTCTCAGAGCCACAGAGTTTATGTTTTTACCAGTGGGGGGGGTGTGACTGGATAGTGTATGTAATATTATGCAGCTTGATTGACTGTTGGACCTTGGCAGAGCTATGGGTTTATTTAAGTTTTTTTTAAAATTCTATTTGATGGGGAAATAGTATAAAATACTAAATTTAAAAATATTCTGTAGTTAGAAAGAACTACTTTTTTACAACCATTGTCTCTGGGCAGGTAACAATACACAAATAGAAAAAAGGACAAAATAGCCCAGTGTGTAAGATTTAGGTGAAAGGGATTTACTGGCACAAATTCAATATAGAATAATCCTCATTTAAATACCTTATATTTACTTTGAGGGGGTCCCGTCTACATAAGTCCAGACCGGACAAACTAAACACCTTTTGAGTTTTTATGACAACTGAAGCTTTCACAGGTTCTGTGTCATGTTTGGGAGGAGAGGGGGAGGGGAGGGGTGTTCAACTGCAACATGCAATTTCAACACTGGATATCACTAAATTCTACACACTGGACCTTTAACCCCAATTAAAAGTTGTCCTATGTAACTTTTTGTCCTTCTCTTCTAAAATAGGACATGTATGTGTGTCACTGGCTCATCTCTCAACATGTATGTGGAAGGTTTTGTCACCACAGATGTCCCAACAACAACAGTGACTGTTAGGTGTTGTCACCAGAGCCTTTCAGTTTTGACTTTTCTATTTGAGCGTCAGGATTAACTGTGATCTTGGCTGTGACACCGAATATAAATATAATCTTTGTTTGTTTTCTCTGTTCACCATCTCCAGGCCTGAGCTTTGTGTATTCAAGCTGCTCCATAGAAGTGCAGTCTAAATCAGGTATCGTACGTCAAACCTTGAGAATTTGATTGTATGAAAAGAATATCAAATAAACCTCCGCCCCTTTGTCGCCATGCCGCTCTGGTATGTTTGCACGTCATGTGTTTGTGTAGGGACTGAAAAGGAGGAAGAAAACCCAGACAGACCACATGAAGCCACGGCCTCCTGTGACATCACATCATGCCATGTCAGTTCTGAAGAAGCACACAAGTCAGGAAAAACCAGTTTGAAGACTTTCAGTTAGTCATCCTCCCTCCAGCCTGCTTATCTTGTCTTCCTCTGGCTCTGCCTTGTTTAAATATCCTCACTGCACTGCAGATGGTTTGATTGATTCTTCCTCTACCCGGCAGATCATGGACTTCTCTCAGTCGTTCTCAGCCCTCAACGAGAGGCTGAAACCTCGATTCACCACCAACGAGCAGCTCTGCACCTCCCTGAACAGACTGGAGGACAGACAGCAGAGCTCACTCTGGAGCAGGACATCTTACCAACCGACAGTTCTGCCTGTGGAACCAAATGTGTCAGTGACCATCACGGAGCCACACGATCCAGAAGAACCTGAGGTGGTCTCTGACGGCCTGGGAGAGGGAACCTGTGCAGATCTGCGGTCCAACACGTGCCTGATCACTGAGCTGAATTTAAAAGATGTGGGCGATGAGGAGCTGGCTGACGAGGACAGCAGCTCCACAAAGTCTGAGGAGAAGGACAGTCAAGGGGAACTGACCACAGAGGGGACGAGGGACTCCTCAGGGTCGAGACCCTCCAGCATTGGAAGTGGGAGCTCCATCCAGATGAACTTTGTTGATGGGACTTTACCAGACCTGCTGAACAGCGGCAAACCACTCAGCAGACGCAGGACACTGGGACATGTCTCAGCCACGGTAGGACAGCAGTCTTTGAATGTCAAAATAAGAGAGAGAGAGAGATTACATACACATAAATCTACTAAGTGGAGGGTGAATGTTATTATTGTGCCTCAAAGAGATTTGTTAAACAACAAGAATAAACTGGAATATATGGAGAAATCTGAAATTGAAAATACTGAGTTTGTCCATGAACAACAAATAAATATTGATAACTAGATCACATTTACTTCCACCAAGGTCCAACAATCCCATTGGGTCATGTCCCAACCCTCACAAGACAAACAAACGCAGATGCAAACATACCTTTTAATTTCCACTTACACTTCATCTGTCCACCAAGTTTCATGGAAATCCATTCAGTTTGTTTACATTTTATCTTGTTTACAAATCAACAACAACACAAAATCATAAATTATATTGTGATATAGTCAAAATGAGTTTGAAGCCCTGACATACAACTCCTCTAAACCTCAACACTTTATTGCCTGATATGACAGGACTTGATTTTAAATCATGAGAGTGGAGGTGGAAACTGTTTTGTACCTCATGCTTTAATTTCTCAGTCATCTCAGTGTGTTTCTATGAAAACATTTATTTCTGCATATTTTCTCTGTGTGTTTGTGAGCACTGAGCAACAACATCTCAGCCGGTACGACTGGATTTCTCCTCCACAGTTTCACCCTGCAATCTAGATGAAGCAGTTTCTATTTACACTCTGCCAAAAAAATGTCTAGGTTGTGCTTTGTCAGTGAGGGCCTGCATTTACCTGCACTGCAGCAAATGGGGGTGTCATTTGTTCACATGATGTGATGTTTGTTTTGTGCAGCTGAACGAAGTTCGCAGAGAAGTGGAGCTGTCCCGCAAACGAAGCATCAGGCTGAAAGCTCAGGTGGACAAACTACAGGAGAGCAGAGCTGGGAGAGGATGGAGTCAAGACAAAGAGAGGGTAAATAAACACACACACACACACACACACACACACACACAC